TTTTAAAATTATCTGTCAAGGAACTGTAAATGTTTATAGATACATGTTTGGTTGCATGGTAGGCTACACTAATTTAAAAAAAAAAACTGGATTCAGTATAAATAATGTCAATTATATCAGAAGAAACAATCTGTGTGCCAAAATTTATGGAAGATTATAACCATAAAATGGTGTGGGACAGCACAGATTTCTATTTAAAGTGAAGTGCCTAAGGATCAGATTTTTCCAGAAGGCTTGTGTTCAGGAAGTTTGAAGACACTAGATTTGTCACTCCAGGCTGGAGCTCCTCACTGCTAAGGCAGTCTTGATGATAGGAGCGGTTGGTTTGATTCAATCCCAGCTCTTAGCAGAGTTACAGTGATGTCATCCAAACACAACTGTTCTACATAAGTTCTGAAACTATCAGTATTGAGATATACTAGCTTATTTATTTAAAACAGAAATTTTTCTTTTAAACATAACACTAATTCTATGTTATTTCCTAAAATGGTTGTAAATTTGGTCAATCATAGCCTACTTGTGGCTCAGGCCTGGCAGGAAACTAAGGCCTGTTGGTATTTAAGAAGCAATAGAGGTGTCAGAGCTCATCTTTGAACCTTCCCCCGCTTTTCCCTAAGACAGCTTTAGGAAATAAGAACAATTTCTTCCTGACAGCATTAGAAACACCATCTATTAATTTATGCACTACTTCTCCTTAGATAATTGGGATCCAGTCATACTCTATGCAACAGCCCCTGGCTTTGGAAGGGCCCAGGCTTACCAACTGCTACCCCTGGAGGAGGAAAGAGCCAGAGGGTGAGCAGATTGTGTCTTTTCAAAGCAAGAAGAAATGGAGGGGTGGTAAGGAGCTGGGGAGACAAAGGAGAAGCATTTGATAAGTCATCTGTCTGTAGGCCTGGTGGAGACTGCTGGAATAATGGAAGCCACTTCACGGTGAACTGAATAATACCATACAGAGAATGTGCCAGTTTAATCAAAGAAGAAAGACGACGTGTCACTATTAAACACACTCATTAAGGGGTGTCTTTTGAACACCCTATTTTTTCCCACTATTCTTCTTTTTCGAACAGATGAGAAAAATGAATGAATCTATCAAAGCAGGAGGGAAGCATAAGGTTGCCAACTTACTGGAAAGTCATGCAGGATATTTGCATTAATTAAATATTTATTATTAGGATAGAGGTTTGCAGAGAATGGAAAATAGGCAAAGTTTGTGGTAGTTTCACATAGTCTCTCATTTGTAAAAAAATCCAGAGAGCACCCCCTCAAGATTTTTAAATTTCAATTATATCTAACTTGTAGCAAGGTTAAATATTTGATTTGTGATTTGTGAAAATAAGCAGATAACATCTTGGTTAAGTTATGGCTCATGGACCGGATAAAAAGAGAAAGGGGGCATTTTCAGATCTACCTGTATTACATTTTGGAGACAACTAAGAAAGAGAAACGGCACAAAAGAAATTTCAAAATCATTGCTGGTTGTTCACAAAATTATTTCTACTGTCAATGTGCTAGTCTGTGCTGTGAATTTAAAAATGAGAGTGTGAATAGTGTAATATAATGTTCTAAGAAATTCCATGAAGGCTCAGAACAATGAGCTTCCCATCCAGCAAATCTTTCTTGGTCCGTGAAGCAGAGTGCAGCTTTTTATTTGTGAGTGTCTCAAATAGTGGAAGATTGACTCAAACAGATATTTTCAATGTCTGGTCAATTTTCGAGAGACTCCCAGCAAATAGTCACATTCTTGTAAATGAAGACTAGCTCATCATTTTGCTGTGATTGATTGATTAGGTGCAAACACAGTGTAAAGATCCAAGAAATTATTTTATGTTCAACTGTCTTTTCAGCTAGACAGCATCATTAATGACCAAAGTCCCTCCCTATGCCTTTTGCTGCCTTCCGCATTTGGTACACTTATTGTTTACTTCCTTGCTCATTGATTTGGAAACACGTTGTGCTAGTTCTACTGAAAAATATGCTTCTTTTTTGTGGGTCTTATTTTGGTTTCAGTTTCTGCTTTTTGAGACAGGGTCTTGCTACCCTGTGACTATATATGTAACTGAGGTTTACTCGTTTCATGAATCTCCTCCCTTTATTTCCCAAGAGGCATGCTTTGTGATGCTAGACTTTTAGAAGAAGATTCTACTTCCTTGGGCTTTCTGTAATACGAGAGGACCAGAAGATATTGTAGGTAGCAGGACATAGAGGCTAGCAGGTCTGGGAAAGTCTGTTTCTAGAAAGAACACTCGTGGAGAATACCAAAGTGAGGGAGATAACAGGGGCTGGATCCTGGAGCCCTCTTAGGTCCTAGAAGTGACCTTGGCTTTGTTGACTGAAAATATAAACAATTCATTTTTTCCAATCTTGCCTTTTAAACTTTAGAAAGTGAATTGGGATTGACGTCTACTGTAATATATTTTCAACCCTATATATTTGTCTAAGGTCTAAGCCCTTCACTCCTAACTGTCTATTAATAAACCTAGTCAACTCTTCCACAGAAAACATGAAGAAGGAATATCAGAACAAGATGACCTAAATGACCCCTAATATAACTGTCTTAAAAATAGAAACAGGATGTGTCTAAAAGGATGCTTTTACTTCTGTTACATTCAAAATTCTTAAGTTCATAGTCAAATGAAATCAGTTTGAAAAAAAATATTAATTATCCATTTTGAGTTCTCTTTCCTATGTAGATTTCTAACCCCCAAATATTATACCAAACTTCTCTATATACAATTCGAAAAGCTAGCACACTTTTAGACTATTTCCCTCTCACCAAATAGTACATCCTACTATACAGCTATTAAATGAGTAGATGCTAAATACTGTAGTATTTAGACTGAGAAACATTCTGTTTTTCTTCCAACACTTTGCCAACAGGGTCTTTGAAATCATACTGACTCTCCTGTTGTCCACAGATACAGAGATTACATCTAAGAGAGCTCATATTTATCATTAGTTTAGTGACCCCTGCTGGGGAGGCTTAAAATAATCAAGGATTCAGAGATGGGGTTTCAGCAAAAAGAAGCTTGGATCCGAAGCACAAGTCCTTCATCATCCAGGACAATTGATCTTGTGTGTCAATCACCATTCCATGAGTAGAGGTTGTCATTGTCACTGTATGGGGGTGTCATATGACCAGGAGTGGGACAGTTGTGAAAGTAGTGTATTTGGAATTAACACCTGCCTCCTGGTTGTCTGCCTTTGCTATACTGTGTTGTTGGCTTGTTTCTGTGCTATTTGCCAAGTGACACGTCTTGATCTCTTTCCAATATGCCTTTTGTGAAAAAATTCAAAAGGCACAGATGATGTCATCTTCCTCAGAGTCTTTTTCTCCCCACTACAATGACATTATAGTGTCATATGCCAACCTTTTACCCATCACACTTGCAGAGCTAAGCTATTGAAAGAGGAGTAAATATCCCACAGAGCAGATGCCTTAAAGCATTCTTTTCATGAATATTTAAAGAGCCATATGCACCTTTGTCATTGTGTAAGCTTTTATTCATGTACATACTTACAAGATTTTATATTCTCCTCCTCATCATCTCAGACCATTTTATTAAAACAAAGATAGAATATTAGTTTACCTAAACTAATATGATAAGTACCTGCTAACCAACATTAAACTTTACATGCAAAATAGGAGAACAACAAATCTTCAGCTGTAATTATGCTTCAGGGTAGCAAAGCATTAGTTCAGAACATGGGTACAAGAATTTCTCTGATTTATCTGAGATAACCTGAACATTTTAAATAATAAAACTTGTAAAGTGAATATTCATTCTATATGTCCTATTAAACATGGTGTGGGTACGTATGTGTATTTAGCTAGAACTCAATTAACTAGCTTTTTTCTATGTACTTCCATTTTTATTGAAAATAGTGGGGGAGATATTGAATATGATAAATTACAAAATCATTTTATGTCCTTTCCCTCCCTCCCTCCATCCCTCCCTCCCTACCTCCATTCCTCCCTCCATTGCTCCCTCCCTCCCTCTCTCCCTCCCTCAGTCTGTCCCTCCCTCCTTCCCTCCCTCCCTCCATCCCTCCGTCCCTCCCTTTGTCCCTCCAACCCTCCCTCCCTCCGTCCCTCCCTCTGTCCCTCCACCCCTCCCTCCCTCCACTTTCCTTCTTCCTTTTCCTTCTCCTACCCTCCCTCCTTCCTTTCATTAGCTCTTTTTTCCCCAAGTTTTGAAGTAGATATTTAATTCACTAGCAATTCCACCTAATGAAATATAGTCTCTGTATAGATTTCATAAACTCTTCCTGCTTAGGGTGACTGATTTGCATGAATGCTCTTTTAGCTCACAATGCACAATACATTTTAAAGAACTTTTCTATGAGTTAGAAAGAGATGGTGACAATCAAATGATGAAAACCACTCCCATTTTTAAACTAAACTCTAGACTTTATTTGGATTTGACCTTATTAAAATGAATGTCTTCTTTTGATTTAAAATTGAATGTAGAATCTTATATTCTATTTATTTTCATTCCTCTTTATTCTCTCATCAGTGATACTTTCTCAGTCATTTCTTGTTTCCTATTAACTGGATGATTTTAGGGAGTATTAGGGATTTTGTAGGAGACCCCGCACTTTGGATCTGTCTGAAGCTTATGCTTAGACTGAGGTTTTTTGCAAGATTAAATATTTCAAGATTAAGTATGCAGGGTTCTTTGGGTAACTTATAGCAGGAATGCATAGCATCTACATAACATATCTTTAGTGACATTGGCCACATCGGGCATGGTGGTTTTTGCCAAGTTTACCCACTGTAAAGATGTTAGTTTCTTATTTCCGTATTCTATTCTTTGGAAACATCATAATGCAATTCACTCTCAAAGTCTGGGGGAGGTGGGATACAGGATGGCATGGGCAGAAAAACCTCGGCCAGGCTAAAGCCCGTGCTTTCAGTGAAGATTCAAGGCTTAGAAGAAAGACTATTGTCCTCTTGAAATTGGACAGAACAAGTGAGCAAACTCTTCTGCTTAAAGACTGTTAGGTCCGGGATGAATCCTAATCTGGTTAGACATCTATGGGTGAGAAATGTGGATGTGGGACTGAGACCAGCTTTTTTTTTTTTTT